ATACACTGCTACTGTGCTCAGACAGCTCACCAGAACACAAGTGACCCAGTCTGACATCTTCCAAGCAAGGGTTGAAAGAGTCAAGTGTAGACAGAGGAAAAGCCACCAAGACTCCCAACAGAGAGTGGACTGTTACTGCCAAGCTGCTGTTTTGAAACACCATGGAATTATTAGGACCAAGAATTGCAAGTGCAGAGCCAAGTTCTTCACAGGCTTTCGGGAAACTCCTGGTGTTTGGTTTGGAGGCTGAGTTCTTTCTTGGGAGAAGCTGCTGGAGGAGTGACTCAGCTGGCAGGTGCAAAGTGAGAGCTCTTTGTAACAAGAGGAAAGTGACAAATTAACTCATCTGATCACAGGACCAAGACAGCCACAAACTCAGACCACCCTCTAGAGTCCTACACGCAATGCCATGTAGTACACAAACAGTCCTTCGCCTCCCAAAACTCTGCCCAAATTCCCTCCTGTAACTAGACACCTGCCAACCAAGCACTCTAAACATATCTGCACAATTTAAATTTCTGTGCTATTAAAAAGCTTTAAAGTAATCTAAAAGGAAATGCACATGGTACTTCTTTCTCTGCAGTTACATAACGTGATGACAAAGTTCATGTCTGCAACAAGGCCTAACCTCACCTTCCCAGGCTCACGGCACTGCACAGACCTAAGTTCCTTAAGCACACTGCTACACTTACCACTTCACTCCCATCTGTAAGTCACAAACACAGGAAGCCATAAATAAAGCTAAAGGACAGAGCTCAAGCTCTCAAGGGACATTTTTATAGTCAAGGGTCTTTTTGACTATCCATGTTCTCTTGAATCTTGTTTTTCAATCCCTAGCACACAGTAATGGCTGAGGTTAAACTTTTAACAGGTCACACACCACAGTGTCTTCAAAAGCTCTCACTCGCTCGCTCGCTCAGTCAGTCATTTTCCTACCCCCACTAATACTCCTCACCATCACTCCACTCTATCCCTTTAAAGACAAGCTCTTCAAACCCCACCAGGGAAGAACTGTGCGTGCTTGCCTACAGACCCAGGAGCGACCCTCTAGGAGAATTTCTCAACTTAGGCCTCTGTGAGCAAATATGAACTTTCTCTAGCCATTTTTACAAGAGAACTTGCTGTAGATGCTGGCAAGGGCCTTTAACTTTTTGGCAAGATCTGAAGTCTAATTCCATTTGGACAGCTACCATACACACCACTGCCATGCCAAGGCAAATGTTCTGAAGGGCAGGAGTCTTTAAGACATGCACCCTAAAATCTAGTGACTAAAACTAAATAAACTTTCTGAACCATTATTCCTTTGACACCTCAACCAGGAAAGCTGAGTTCCTGTCTCCCACTTAGAGTCCACCTAAAAATGTAATTCTTTAAGAACTACAAAGAGAAATTTGAGAAACAAAAAGTAAGGTAATTAACATCTCAAATCGAAGTACCTAATAGCTATTCTTCACTCCCAAAGTGTCAAAAGAAAAATTTAAAGAAAAAAACCAGCGAACTTTATCTCTTGTCATCAATATACAAAAGAACTCTACACTATAATAACTTCTACGTGAAGAACAAAGCCAGTGTTTGTCAGTCCTTCCACTCAAAAGCAGACCAGTTTGCTCCAGAGGGGACAAGTTCCATTAGGAGGGCTCATCCTAACTGCACTTGTGCAAACCCTAAATTAACTCCACCAAGAGCTGTACCCAGTCTCCCAGTTACAGCCCTGAGTCATGACTCAGTACTTAATAGTAAGTTACCAGCTGAGGATCAGAAACCCAGGCTAACAACTGACATCTGCCTCCTGCAGTCCTGGCTGTATGACCTTGGACTAGTCACTGCGCACGCCTGGGCTCAGTGTGCTCACCTGTAAAATGGGTAATGTTTCCTACTGGGAGGGTAAGCTGCGGAATCCGGAAAACTGAAGTTCCGAACGCCTGGCACTAAGCTACGAGCGTGAACACAGCAGCTCTATTTTCCGGCAATGTGGCGGAACTAGAGAAGCAGATGCTGCTGCACCTCGGCGGCAGGATTCACACAATCTGGGGCTGGGCGAAGGACAGGCAAGTCGTGGAGCCACTGACTCACGGATTTTGCCATTTTTAACTATTTCGGGGTAGGGAGGGGCCCCTCTCCCGCTGCTGCTATCCCGCGGCCCCGGTGCCTATAAAGAGCCTGATGAAGTTTGTTAGGGTACACAGGTATCCATCCACCCCGGGTCTCCTCCCGCGGCTAAGCAGGTCACCCGGGCCCGGGATCGCCGCCCGGCCTCCAAGCACACCGGGCGCCCAGGCCCGGGCGCGGGCCCACAGGGCCTCGGAGCCAGCAGGCTCGCCGACCTTCCCGGCCCCGCGTCCTCGCCTCCCCGCGGCCAGCCCCGGGGCCACAAGCCGTGCATTGTCCTTGCCCAGAACCCCGGCGCTCCGCACGCCGGTGGGGACCGAGAGGAGGGACGAGGGAGGAGCTGGGGGAAGAGGATGAGGAGGAAGAGGAGGAGGAGGAGGGGGAGGAGGAGGAGGACAGCCTCCTCCCCTGCGCCCCGGCGGCCGGCCCCAGGCCGCGGCGCCCGCCCGCCGCAACTTTCCTCGGGGCCGCGGCCTTGCCCGGGCTCCCGCCCGCGGCCCCGGCCTGCGCCCGCCGCCGCCCGCCCGCCCTAAGATGGCAGGTCCCTCCCTCCCTCCCTCCGCCGCGGGCCCGGCCGGGCCGGCTCGCGGGGCCCCGGGGAACCGCGCGCAGGCCGCGCCGGGCGGGGC